GCTTTGTCGCAGCACCGAGTGTCCCACCTGCGGGACCCGGCTCTTCCCAAATGCCCGTTTCTGGGGCAGTGGGACTGGGCTCGCTGCCTGTAGGCCAGCAGCAGGGCTGCAGAGCACTGAGGAGCAACAATCTGGGTGTTTTTGTGGGGGCAAGACAAAATAAAGTGCCCCCTTGCACATGCACAGGCTTCCTTCGATTTAGGACTGTGCAAGGCACTTTTTTGAGTGAGGAAACAGGCAGCTATAAAATTCCTCTTGAAAGACAGTTTAAACAGAGTATGATGCCCTGAACTGGGCTGAAGTGCAGCAGTTTCAGTAAAAATGATGGCAGGGACGTGAGGGGGACGCTGAGCAGCGTGGCGTGCCGTGGCGCGGGCTGCGCAGCGCGAGTGGGGCCATTCCCTGGCAGCGCCGGGCGCTCCTGCTCGCGGGCAAGTTCCTGCTTGTGCGGTTTTCCCATTGCACCCTTGCTGGTGTTTGCTCGTGTGCCGCTGACACCTTTCCTGCTGTTTCTTTCCTTTCCTCCGCTGGGTTTTATCGCCTTGCCCCCGGCAGCGGGTTGCATAGTCCCGCGGTTCGGGCCGGCCAGCGCCCGCATCGCAGCGGCCACCGCTGGGCCCTTCGCCTGAGCACCCTCCCGGCGCTGGTCCTGGCGGATTCGCTTTCTACCACATTTCAGGAGGAACCAAAAGCTTGTTGTTAATCGCTGTGCTACTGTTTTCCTGATGCTGTATCAAAGCCAGTATTTAATGTTCATTTTTCAAATGAGAAAAGCCTATAAAGACCCTTCAATTAAGTGAGATTTAACAGGAATTATAGGCTTATAGTCTTAAAGATGTATTTAGGAGGGAATAAAGATGTTTTATTACTATGTTGTAAGACTTTTTTTTCCAGTTACTCTGCATTTCAACTTTGGCATTTTTTAATAAATTAAAAAAAAAAATCTGTAAAAGTTGCTTACGCTCACGGTGTATTTCTGCTGACAGTGATGTCCTTCTGGTCGCTTTAAGCGGACGAGGCACCCAGGCGGCCTCGGTTGAGGAGAAGAGGGAGCAAAAACTTCTCTTGAGACGACGATTTGCATTTACATTTACAAATTACATTTACAATTGTAAATGTGATTCAGATCTATTTTTTGGACTGGTAATGCTTTCTGGGTGTGTTATTTATCATCTCCTGACTTTCTACATGTGATCATCAGATATTTTGACCAGATGTTTTGTCTTTCACTGGTGTCTCTTTGCTGGGCTGCAGCGGTCGGTAGTTGCAGGCGCCGGGCTGGTGCTCGCGCTGCCCTGTGCGCAGCCCCCGTACCAGTTCCCAGCCCACCGCCCCGACAGACCCAGCTCATCTCTGCCTTTTGCAGCGAGAGAGGCCTTACGAAGCCTAAATGCTCTGCCGTCCTGTAAGGATGTGTGACCAGGTTTCCTGCTTTGAACTGTACAGACTCTGAAATCAGGGTGTGTAAAGGTGGGGGGAAAAAAATCAGCCCACTGACGTTTTGATGTTTCATCTCTAAGAAGTTGTCCTTTTCCAGCTGGAGAGGCCAGCCTGCTTAAAGTGAGCTTATGTTTGTTTTTTTCAGTTTTTACTTAATTAACTTTTTTGTTGTTGTTGTTGTTTACACAGCAAATACAAGTTTATAACGTGTCTGGTTTTCAGCTTTTAAAAGAAAATGTATTTTTTGCATACAGAGGCAAGAAAATATTACAGGATGGGTGTGTTTTTTTTTTTTTTGTCCCGCGCGCGCCACCGCCGCCGGGGCTCGGTGCTGCCTGCGTCACCCTGCCCCGCAGCTCCCGGCCCTCAGGCTTCTGTGCGAGTTTTTTGACCACAAAAGAATAGAAATGAAGGAACGGCTGCATATTCGGAAAAATCCGTCATGTTTATTATTATAACACTAAGAACAGTGACTGCAAATTCCCCTGAAGTGTAACGTGGAAAGGGTCAGCGCTCACAAAACGCGCAGCTTGTTTGAAGGGCTGGGCACGCGGGTGTGGGAGAAGGAAGTGCTGGAGAAGGAAAGAGAGGCCTTAAGAGACGGCACGGGAACAAAAAATAGAGACGTCTCCCTTTTGTCACCAAACTACACCTAGCAAGCCAAACTGCCACAAAGCAAAACCTCACTTTTTAATTGTTATCTCTGCCTGAAGCTGAGGGCTCTTCGCGGGTTATTTGTTGACAACGTCTATGGCAGCACATGCCCAGGGCTGCGGGGCTCCTGGCCA